TCACAGGAGTGGGTTAGTTATTACTGGAGTAGGTTCCTGATAAAAAAGAAAAGCTCAGCCCCATTTCTTTATCTCACATACTCGCTTGCCCTTCCACCTTCCGCCAAGGGATCATGCAGCATGAAGGCCCTTGCCAGACGCCAACACCATGTTCTTGGACTTCCCAGTCTCTAGAATCATGAGCCAAATAAATTTCTGTTCATTATAAATTATTCAGTATGTGCAGCAGAAAACAGACTAAGACAGCTGACTTCATGCCTGGGGGAGTGGGTAGAGGCCTGGGAGCCAGTGACTGACTCACAAATTTGCTGGAGCCTAGGCAGACCCTCTCCAGTTAATAGTTATTGGCCCAAGACCTAAAAGTCAGAGCTAGGGCATATGGAGTTGTCAAAAATCTGGGCAGTTTGGGCTCTGAAGGAGGACTGGAAAAGGGTGTGGCTAAAAAGCAGCTCCTTGGTCTGAAAAACAATAGAGGGGTTATGGCTAGATTGTCTTAGACCAGTTATTAGAGGGGTGGTGTGGGGGTATCATCAGCAGAATTGGACTCTAGGACTGGAGTGCTCATGGGACATGGTATTGGAGCTGTGTTTTAGGGGTCTGTACATCTATTATTGTTGATCTGACATGGGGAGGAGCTAAGAGGCCCAAAGCAATGACTCATGACTGGAGAACGGTTTGGGCGTGGTTAAAGGACCTGCCCCTGGAACCTGGAAGGCTGCAGAGGGGGTGTGGTTAAAGGGTCCCTGGAACTAGAGGACATGAACAGATCATTAAGGAACCACAATATTTCAATGGGGTAGGGAAAGATTCATCAGAGAGAACTTCATGGAGACCAGAAAGAAAGGACACTCTGGGGAGGGAGCTTTCACAGAAGCCAAAGGAGACAATCAGTGGGGAGAAGCAGCAGCCAGCCCCGGAGACCTGGGACATGCCCTCCCTGCAGCTGGCCTGTCTCAACCTAATCACTTCTCCCCATGAAAAGGATCAGACTTTCTAAGAAATCTATTAGATTGATGCTCAAGGGTTGAATTCATGCAGGAATCTCAGGCTGTGAATTTGAATTCCTTGCGCCTTTCCAGTCAGATGAGTGACTAATATATACACAGCCTGAGCTTATTAAAGAAATTTTGACTAAAACAATAAAAGGATAGAAAAACAAGGGAAAGAACTTGTGCCTGGGCATTCTGTGGTACTGGGACTTAGGACTTCAACATACACATTTGGGGAAGACAAAATTCAGCCCATCACAATAACCAAACTTTAAACTTTGTTCAAAGATATGGATATTCTCCCTTCTCAGAGTTTTGACTTGTTGACTGCTAAGCATTTTGAAGATGGCGATTTTATTGGCCGGTTCTGTTGTTGTTGTTCTTGCCTTATTCTTGTGCTCATTTACAATCTTGTTAACCATGAATTTTGGCCTTTCCAGTACCAAAGCCGGTAGGAGGGAAAAGAAGAAAAAACCCCCTCACTATAACCAACTTTGCTGTGTCTACTGACTTGATACCCACCAAGTGAACAATTCTAAAGGTAATATAAATATTAACTTACTATTTATATTTTTTGAAGAATGATATCATAAATTCTAGTGTTTGGATGAAATCAATGAAACTCAAAAAAGTTATGTAATTTTTTTCAAGATCACAAATATTTTAAAAATTGAGGCAGGATTTTAATCCAAATATCTATGTCTGAAGATGATTATCAAAATAGATACATCTACCATTCACAAAGCAATCGGCAGAACAATGGATGCAATTTAGTCTTAGCAACCAGAAATTTGCTTTTTCTTTAGAAAGGATTATGAACCTCTAAGTGTAGGCAATGTCAGGGAGGAGGGGATTTAATCGGAAGGAGGACAATGATTTTTGCAATCATCTTAAAATAATTGTTTTGTATTATACATCAGATACCCAAAACATAACCGAAAAATAGAAAAAAAATATTTACCCCACATTTCCTATCATCGAACATCCTAACCCCAGGAATAGCTATATAATTTGTGTAGGCCAGTGTAAAATAAAAATGGGAGAGTTTATCAGGTTGGTTCTGCCTGTGCAGCAAGCCAATAACTGAGACAATGGGTTTTGCAAAAGAGAAAGAGTTTATTCATGAGGCAACCAGGTGAGGAGGCGAAAGGTCTAAAATCTGCCTCCTGTGAGATGGTGTAACTGGCTCCATGAACCCCAATATGTTTTTTATAATCCTGTACCTTAATTAACTACTTGACCCTTTGAGTTATTTCCCGGAAATGATGGACTTGAACTCCTAGCCTCAAGTGATCCTCCTGCCTCAGCCTCCCAAATTGCTGGGATTATAGGAGTGAAGCACCACACACCCGCTAAACCCCCACAGCCCCACCCCCAGCCTGAAATAATGGATTTTCTGCAAGAGAAAGGAGTTGAGATTCTGGAGTCCCCAGAGCAAACTTCGCCATCCAGGACCCACCATCCCCTTCCACCTACCCCAAGGCACATGGCCCCTCCTAAGACGTCTGTCTTATGAAAAGTTCCTTTCTCCCCTGGCAGTCCTCATTATCTCAATAATTGTGTCTTTGTGTGATGAGTAACTGGACCTAGACTGAAACCGCCTTGCCCTTTCAATAACAATGGGGTTTTAGAGATATTTACTGGAGGTAAAGGAAGTGAGGTAATCTGCATGGCTCTTTATAGAACACATGTTCAGAAAATGGCAGTGCCAGCATGATCTGAGGGTGGAGTTTTTGGCCCTCTGATGTCAAAAGGTCACCCCCCAAGGGCATTCAAACAGGTAAAGGGTTAGTGGTCTCAACAGGCTTCAAGTAGACAAGGACTACCCACCCTCTGGTACCTAAAAACAACCTTAAGAACCTTAAGCACGTTACTGTAGTGACTCACAGTCAGAGGTATCATCTATAAGGATTATTTGGCTATGTGACTTACTAATGGAGTTTTAAGATCAACTAGAAGAAAGAGATTAAAAGGTTAAGTTTGGAGGGCTTAATCAGGTTAGCTCTGGGTTTCAGTGTCGTTAATAATTATTAAGAATTTCAGGATGGTGAAAGCAGAGTATTAAACCAAGCATGAGGCCCTTGTGAGTGTTTGAGTGTGGGGCCTCGGGCAACTACAGAGGTCATGAGCCCTGCCACCCAACCCCAGCCCCATCAGTCTGATACACATTTAGTTCAGCCACCATCCCTTTGTATAGTCAACACAAAAACATGTTGTCGTTGAATACATCAGAAAGTACTTAAAACACACTCTCTTGTTTTTTCCTTCTGCCACATTTCTTCACACTCTTCTTTGCTATTTCTCTTTTGTTCCAAACTTTACATATTGTAGTACTCCAAAGTTCCATCTTTAGTTCTCTTTTCTCCTTTGCTTAGACTCATTCAATTGATAATGTCATCTGTCTTCATTATTTTAAATACTACCTATAACCTGATAACTCCCAAATTTGCATCTCTTGCCCAGACCTTTCTCTCAAACTACAAAAAAAAAAAAAATAGAACTTGTGCCTGAAACTAAAACAAGATGATGATTTTTTAACTTTTTTAAAAATATAAGACAAAGCTCAAATTCTTGGGCTCAAGTGGTCCTCCCACCTCAGCCTCCTGAGTAGCTGGGACTATAGGCATGAGCCACGATGCCCAGTAATCATTTTTTGATTACTTAAATAAAGCTTACTTTTTTATTCCATCTGATTGCAAAAAGTGTGGCAGAGGGGGCGTCTATTTAATTGTAATTGCCATCTTCACTCACATAGAGTTCAGGGGGAGTCAAGACATCTCCTGAAACTCCCTCAGAGGTGGGTGAGGTAGTGATCTGTGGAGGCAAGACCTGCCCTGGTAAGTCTGTTGAAGAGAAACATGGGGATAAAGCTCCATCCACAAACCCTGCCCACACAGGTCTTCTCCCTGAGTGTGTCCTCTGGTGTAAGATGAGGTTTAACTTACTGCTAAGTGTCTCACATTCTCCCTCCCCACTCACAAAACGCTTGTCCCAAAAAAGCTGTTCTCTGATGAGGTGTACCTTTTTCCTAAATCCTTGCCCATTCTCCCTGCACACAGAGCTTCTATTCTGTGTACTCTGTGATTTGTTGAGGGTTGACTTATGGCCACAGCCTCAGCCACACTCTTTTTACACCACAGATGTCTTAGATCAGATTCCCTGGAGAGACAATTAGATGGAGAATTGAGGGTTCATTGGGGAGACTCAAGGGTAGGGCTAGGCAGAGAAAGAAGCTGGTCCACAATGTGTTTGCAACTGATAGATCATTCACTACAGTGGGGACTTCTGGATCTGGGATGGACCTTTGGAGTTGTCCCAGTTGAGTCAAAGGGTGGGGTTTTGTCCTCCTACATCAACCAGTCATTGGGCGGGAGCCACCCCTTGGGAAGGTGCATAGCCCTGGGTTATGCAGCTCTCTGGGGCTGAGAGCCAGTCCAGGTGAGGAATGCAGCTCTGGCAGCAACAGCACCGTTCTCTCAAGCAGCTGTGCTGTCAGCCCTGACAAGCTCATCTGGGTGGAGCTCCACAGTGTCCCCCTGTGGAGACAGGTCCTCCCTGCAGTGTGTGGCCACAAAAGCCTTGCCCATACTCCCTGCAAACAAAGACCTCCTCCTGAGAGTGCCATCTTGTGCCTGTTTCTTCTTTTGCAGATGCTTACCAACACTCCCTGAACATGTGACACTTCTCCCCTGAGCCTGGCACTGGATGCTCAGTATATGTTGACTCATGGCTGAAGCCTCACCCACAGTCCCTGCACATATAAAACTTCTCCCCTAAGTGTACCCTCTCATGTATGCTGAAGGCTGACTTATAGCTACAGTTAACCTTTCTGTACTCACAGGCTCCTCTCCTGCATGTGTCCCCCAGTACCTGATGAGGGTTGACAGGTCTCTGAAACTTCATTTCCACTCCAGCACGCATGGGGACTATTCCCTGTGAGTCTCTCTGGTGTAAGATGAGGTCTAATTGCTCAAGTCTGCCCATGACCTCTGCATACACAAGGCTTCTCCCTCAGTGTGTCTTCTGGTGTCTGATGAGATTTGACTTGTGGCCAAAGCCTCGCCCACACTCCCTGCAAACATAGTGCTTCTCCCCTGAGTGCATCCTCTGGTGGACAAGGAGACGTGACCTCTGGCTAAAGCTTCGGCCACACTCACTGCACACGTAAGGCTTCTCTCCTGAGTGTGTCCTCTCATGCACAATGAGGGTCGACTTGTCACAAAAGCCTCGCCCACACTCCCTACAAATGTAAGGCTTGTCATCTGAGTGTGTCCTCTGGTGTCTGATGAGATTTGACTTGTGGGCAAAGCCTCGCCCACACGCCCTGCAAACATAGTGCTTCTCCCCTGAGTGTGTCCTCAGGTGGACGAGGAGGCGAGATCCCTGGCTAAAACCTCGGCCACACTGACTGCATACATAAGGCTTCTCTCCTGAATGTGTCCTCTCATGCACAATAAGGGTTGATTTGTCACAAAAGCCTCGCCCACACTCCCTACAAACATAAGGCTTGTCATCTGAGTGTGTCCTCTGGTGTCTGATGAGATTTGACTTCTGGCTAAAGCCTCGCCCACACTCCCTGCAAACATAGTGCTTCTCCCCTGAGTGTGTCCTCTGGTGGACAAGGAGGAGTGATCTCCGGTTAAAGCCTCGGCCACACTCATTGCACATGTAAGGCTTCTCTCCCGAGTGTGTCCGCTCATGTATGACGAGGGTTGATTTGTCACAAAAGCCTCGCCCACATTCTCTGCAAATATAAGGCTTGTCATCCGAGTGTGTTCTCTGGTGTTTGATGAGGTCTGAGTTCTGGCTAAAGCCTCGCCCACACTCCCTACAAACATAAGGCTTCTTCCCTGAGTGTGTCCTCTGGTGTTTTCTGAGGGTTGACTTATCACTAAAGCCTCGTCCACACTCCAGGCAAACGTAGGGTTTCTCACCTGAGTGTGTCCTCTGGTGTCTGACGAAGGATGACTTCTCGCTAAAGCCTCGCCCACACTCGCTGCAAACATAGGGCTTCTCTCCCGAGTGAGTCCACTGATGTCTATCGAGGTTGGACTTATTTCTAAAGCTTTGCCCACACTCTCTGCACATATAAGGCTTCTCTTCTGAATGTGTTCTCTGGTGTCTGCTGAGGTTGGACTTCTGGCTAAAGCCTCGCCCACACTCACGGCACTCATATGGCTTCTCCCCTGAGTGTGTCCTCTGGTGGTTAGTAAGAATTGACATCTGGCTAAAGCCTCGGCCACACTCACTGCACACATAAGGCTTCTCCATTGAATGGGTCCGATGGTGTCTGATGAGGGTTGACCTGTCTTTAAAGCCTCGCCCACAATCACTGCAAACACAGGGCTTCTCCCCTAAGAGGATCCTCGGGTTTGTAAGAAAGTCTGATTCCAGGCTATAGTCTGGTTCAAACACTCCACAGTTGATTGCTCCAAATCTCAAGGTTTCTAATTCCTTCAATCCTTTGTATGGTTGCACAGAGTTTACCCTTTGGGCTGAGATGGGCTCTATTTCCACCACCATGTTGCCTTCTCTAGGACTTGCTGACTGTCCTTGGAGTGGGCCGGAGAACACCCTTGAGGTCTCTCTCTCCTTTGTCTTTGCAGACAAAGGTTTGGAGCCGCCTTCTCCCTCTTGATCTGTGTTTTTACTCCAGCAGCTTTGATCAGAATACTGCTGCTCCTGCTGCTGCTGCCCTGGCCTGGAATTCCCTGGATGGAAGTGATTTTCTGCACATAAGCCCAGGAAGATGTGAAGCTCATGTTGGCTGAGGAATCGCTGACAGGAGAAGGCCAGAAGACAGAAGGGACAAGCGTAGGTTTCTGGCTGTGGTTCTGCTGAAGAAAGAAAGTTTCAGTTAGAGCAGCCATAGTGGGGCTGCTGGGCTATTCTGCCTTATATTAGGGCCCAGAGTATCTTTCTGTCACTTCTGTAATTGATACTATATGTACAGTACAATTTGCTTCTGACCAATAACTCCTCTACATTCCATTTTACACATTACATTTTCTATTGCAATCCAGAAAACCTACACCAAAATCATCTTCTATATGTCAGACTAGGAAACTTATGAGACTGCTCTGTAAACAGATTCAATTATAGTTAGGCTTTTCCTTCTACTAAAATCATCTAAGCCATACACACTCACGTTAATATATACTGTTCACAACACTGTGTTCTACTTGGAGATAATGGTCTCTATGATCCATGTGGAATTCTCCTTCATGGCTTTTCTTATTATAAAAAAGGGACTGATAGACACAAAAAGCCAGTCTGAAGGGCTTTCAAATGTAGGAGAAAATATGAGAAATATTGGTTAAAGAAATTTTATATGAAATAAACCTGAATTTCAGGCTGCCCATCCGTAAACAAAGACTGCTTAGAAAATTTCTAAGTGCGAGGTTCACTACTAAGTATTGTGGATTCAGCAGTAAACAGGAAAGACATAGCCCTCAATTTTAGGATTCTGGCACCAAACTAATCCAAAACCTTCCCTTCTTTCAGTTTTTCAAAAATCAGTGTAAAAGACAACACATTTCATTTACAGCAACACCTGCCTACGAGATATCAAAACTATACGTTGGGCCAGGCGCGGTGGCTCACGCCTGTAATCCTAGCTCTCTGGGAGGCCGAGGCGGGTGGATTGTTTGAGCTCAGGAGTTCAAAACCAGCCTGAGCAAGAGCGAGACCCCATCTCTACTAAAAATAGAAATAAATTAATTGGACAACTAAAAATACATAGAAAAAATTAGCCAGGCATGGTGGCGCATGCCTGTAGTTCCAGCTACTCGGGAGGCTGAGGCAGGAGGATTTTCTTGAGCCCAGGAGTCTGAGGTTGCTGTGAGCTAGGATGATGCCACGGCACTCCAGCCCAGGCAAGAGAGTGAGACTCTGTCTCAAAAAAAAAAAAAAAAAAAAACTAGACGTTGGATTTCATCACAACTGGATCTATTCAGATGATGCTGACAAATGACCACGTACTTGGCCCCAGACCCCTTGGACCTAACTGAAGGCTCCTGCCTGACCAATGAACAGTGGAGTCTTTATAAACAACGGGATACCTAAAAACTCATTCTATCCTATCCAGAGTGCTCGTTTTCAAACCTTAATAAGCACAACCACCACAAAACCCCTACCTAACAGTTAAAACCCTTGCTTTCTCCTCCTTACCAAACCATACAGTAAAATCACTGGTGTATCGCATTGCCTGGTAAGTAAATGAACTGTGCCTTTTGATCTTTTGACCTTTTGTGATCTTTGTTTTAGTTTTTGACAATGTGTTTTTTCCTTGGTTGCTCTGACGCACTCAGCAGTGCTGGGACGGCTGGACTGCAAGAGGAGCACAACTGTGCTTTAACTAAGCCCTGTGTGTGCAGAGCTGCCTGTGTGGCAGCCTGCCATGGGTGGGTCTTTCAGAAGCTGCCAGGCTCTGATGGCTCTCACTGAGCACTCTGAGTTTATTTTGTTTACTTGAGTTCTGGAAGTAACCATAATTCATGACTTGTTTTTATTTCTGGCCAGTCATGTCTTGTAAGATTTTGTGGTAATTCTAGAGTTTTGTGACCTGAACTTTCGATCTTGATTTTTTGACTGTGACTTGTTGCTGCCTTCCCTTTGGCTTATCTAGAAGCATACGAGGCCATTCAGACTACAGTCTGTTATACTCCACATCCCTGAGAAGTATTTCAGTAGAAGAAATCCCATTTGTGTCTATTCTGTGTTAAACATGGGAACCACAAGCTCATTACAGTTAACACCCTGTTAAAGGAACCCCATGTATACTCATAATTCTAATCCCTACATCTTACACTAGTAAAGTGTCATCATTTCACCAAAGATAATTTAGATTTACAGAGACCATTTTGAGGAAATTTGTTTTATACCATGCCCCTTTGCCATGTTTTAATTCAGTATATATTTCTAAAGAACAACTATATAGTTGAAAGAACTGGCTTCCAAAATGATCAATATATTTATTCATTTGCTTAATCTTAAAATGCAAGGAATGTAGTTTCAGAACAGTTGAGCCACTCCTTACAAAAAAACAAATATACAAAATATAGTTCAAGATATGTATGTAGTTTTTGTCAATAGAGAAGGAGTTGGCCAATATTTTCTGTAAAGCACAAAATACTAAATATTTTAGGCTTTGTAGGTCACGTGGTCTCTGTTGCAACTACTTAACTCTGCCATTGTAGAACAAAAGCAGCCGTAAATACATGTGTGAATGAGCATGACCATGTTCCAAAAACCTTTATTTACAAAAGTAGGCAGTGAGATGGATTTAGCCTGTAGGCCATAGTTTGCCAACCCCTGCTGCACTATGGATATATGGTCAAAGCTCTCTGTTTAAAAGTTAACTGAGTTGTTTTCCCCTGTTCCCTGTGGTCAGTTATTTTGAAACACAGTTAGGTAGATTTTTTTCTCTTTGTATTCCATTTTAGGGGTTTTCCCCTCTCTTTGTTGCGTATGTAAAACACTAATATGCTCCAAAAGTGAAAAACTATTCAGAAAGGTCTCCTCAGACCTTTGGAAATACCTCTCCTTTCCATATCCTTTCAGCCAGATTTTACACACAACCCTACAGGTATCCAATTTCATTAGTTTCTGGTTTCTTCATCCTGTGTTACTTTGTGCAAAAAACAGACAGACATATATATTTCCACTTTTCCTAATTTCTCACTTTTTTTAATATTTTTTGCACTTGGCTTTTTTCATTTAATATATCCTATAACTCACTCTTTATCAGTCCAGAGAGATCTTCCTCATTCTTTTCAATAGCTTTGTAGAAATTCACTGGAAGGATGTACCATAATTTCTTTAACCAATTTACTACATTGGGGCAATTAGGTTACTTCCAATATTTTATATACAAATAATGCTGTAATGAATAACCTTGTACAAATGTACTTTCGTATTGTTGGATATGAATCATCAGGGTAAATTCCCATAAGTAGGATTGCCAGGTCAAAGTATATGCATATATATAATAGTTTTGTTGGATATTGCCAAATTTCCCTCCATAATGGTGGTCCCATGTCTGCATTGCCATTTGCAGTGTATAATAGTGCCTATATCCCTCAATTTTGCCAACCGTGTTTTGTCAACTTTTTGAAATGTTGCCAATGTGATAGGTAAGAATGGTCTGTAGTTAATTTGCATTTATCTCATTAGAAGTGAAGTTGAACATCTTTTCATACACTTAGAGTCCAATGTTATACTTTGTGAATTGTCTATTCAGGTATATTGACCATTTTCTATTTGGTTTAGGGGTTCTTTTCCTCAAATTTTAAGATTCATTCTATTAATACATTCTGGACAATAACTCTTTATATGTGATATACATACACGGCAAGTATTTCCTAGAAGTTTGTCTTTTGACTTTGCTTATAGTGTGAAATTTAACAATCTTCTCCTTTATGCACCTAGATTTTTAGCCAAACTTAGGAAACCTTTTCCTATGTTCGGGTTATAGAAGATTTACCCATATTTTATTCTAGTATGTCTGTGGTTTAATTTTTTTACATTCAGATCTCTAGTCATTTGGGAGTTTTCTTATGTATGGTATGTGGTATGATCCAATGTTATGTTTCTCCAAATGGATCTCTAGTTAATCAGCACCGTTTATTAAAATGTCCATCTTTACTCCAGGGACTTGAGATGCCACCTTTATCACACACCAAAGTTCCATAAGTACTTCAGTGGATTTCTTGACCTTCTCTTTGATTCTACTGGTCCATTGGTCTATTCATGTGCCAGCACCACACTATTTTAATTCTAAAGGTTTCATAGTATGTTTTAGTGTCTGATATGCTTAGTGCCCTTTTATAGCTTTTATTTTTCAGTGTATTCCTGGTTCCTTTCCCACAATTGTTTTTCCATGTGAATTTCACAAAAGAGCTTGTTACTATTTTTTTATTGGGATGTGTTAACTTTAGGATTTACCTCAGGGATACCTGACAAACTTATTTTAACTTATAAAATTTTTTTTTAAAAAAAATACAATAAATTTTAGTACACATTTGGTATTAGATGCTCCCACAAACTTTGTTGAATGTGATAGTGGTATTGTGGTTATCTGAGAATACATCTTTAATTTTTAGGGAAATGTGATATATTTAAGGGTAATATATCATGATATTTAGGATTAACTTTGAAATAATTTAGCAAAAAAGAGATAAGTGAAGGATGAAGCAAGTGGGTAATATGTTGATAACTGTTAAGTCTAGACGGTTCACATTTTTCCTTGACCCCCGTTAACCCTACAAATCCTTATTTCTTTTTTAAGATTCAACTTAAGCTTCCCTCTTGTAGTAAATTATATTTTGGTCACAATATTGGCTATTCCTCCCCACTAAGCCCATCTCTGAAGGATTATCTGTCCCACCACAATGACATCAGACTTGGCTGTGGGATTTGCCTTGGCCAATGAAGATTAGTAGGAAGTTAGTGCACTTTCAAACAAGTTTTAAGAGCCATGATGTGGTTCCATCATTGCTCTTTTTCCTTAAAAACTTCATGACCCAGATAGAGACTGTTCCTTTTGCTTGGATCCCAGAACCAATAGAGTAGAGCCACACCTGAATTGTAGCCAAGAGGTAAATGTGAGAAATGAACATTTACCATTATAAGCCAATACAGTATTGGGGTTGTTTGTTCTCATGCTATTACCTAGTCTAAGCTTACTAAAGTATCGCCCCTGTGAAGGCTTTAAAGATTACTTTAAGGAGAAATGGCCCATTTATTTCTACCAGGACCCTTAATATGTGAAGAAACACAGAAAAAGAAAGTAGGAAAAAAAATAGTATGATCTCAGTTTTGTATAACTTTGAGAATAAACTGGTAGATGTTCTTCAGGCAAGTAGAAATATGGGGATAAAGCTCAGATGAGACAGTGATAGAAAATGGGTTCATCATAATATGTGATTGGGGAAAATCATTGCAGTTCACAAATTATTAAAGGGTGTGACTGTAGACACAAAAAAAGAGTATATGACACTAAGTCCTATGGACCCTATTGTCCAAAGAAAAGAGAGAGAAGTAAGAGAAAAGCACAAAAAGGAGACATAAGAGTCTGGAGAACTACAGATTATGGTGTCAAGCAAGACAAAGGAAACAATTTCAAGGAATGCAATTGGGATCTAGGTTTTCAATATCAAGATTAATTTGAACAAGGTCATTTTAACATTTTCCTCTGAACCAGTTAAATGTATTAACAGAAGAAGAGAAAATAAAATGACTAGAGGAAAAAAAATAAAAATAAAATCTAGTTAGACTAACTAGCTAGGGCCAAATCGAAACACATAGAACCATTAAAAAAATAATAATAAATCAAACCAGATTGAAATGGATGATTCTACACTGAATTAAATGGAGCCAGGTCAGATAGGGCTGGTTCAAATCAGAAGGAATCAGCTCAAAATACATCAAAGAACATTAAAATGGAACAAACTAAATCTAATCAGATTCATATCAGGGAAACAGCCATGCCATTTGAAGGAAACTTGAAGAAATTCCTGCCTGAAATTGATTTGTGTGTCCAAAAATGTGATTCTTCTCTACATGCTTTATCTAGAAATACAGGAATTACCTAGAAAGGTACTGTCCATTATAGTACCATATGTGTTTATTGAGCACTTGCAATGTGACTAGTCTGAACTTAAGATGTGCTCTAAGTGTAAAACACACACTAGATTTTGAAGACTTAGTATAAAAAGAAAGAGTAAAATGCCTAATTATTTTTAATATTAATTACATGTTAAAATAATATTTTGACATAATGGGTTAAATAAAATATATTATTAAAATTAATTTCACCTGTTTAGTTATACTTTTTTTAATGTGGTTACTAGGAAATTTAAAATTATCTGTGTGGATCACATTATATTTCTACTAGACAGCACTGATCTAGAACAAGAAGTGGAAAACTATAGTGCATAGGCTAAATCTGGTCCTCTGCTTTTGTGTAGCCTACAAGCCAAGAACATTTTTTACATATTTAAATGGTTAGAAAAAAGTCAAAAGAGTAGTAATATTTCATGATACATAAAAATTATATGACATTCAAATTTCAGTGTCCATAAATAAAGTTTTATTGGAACATTCATCTGTTTATGCATTACATATGGCTGCTTTTACATTACAACAGCCAAGTTGAGAATTGTTACAGAGACCACACCACCTGCAAAACCCAAAATAGTTACTGTTTGGACCTTTAGAGAAAAAGTTGGCCAACACCTGATCTAGAATAATGTTGTAATCAATAGCATTTATCAAGCCAGATTTAAAGAATCATTATATGTTTTTAAACAAATAAAATATATATATATATGGTTTATAAATCCCAAAAGCCACAAAAATTTGATGCTTAATTTTAACTTCTGTCACAGAAGGCATCTCTCACTACTCTCCCCTTGCAAACTATGCCCCCAGCCTCACTGGCCTCCTTGCAGTTTCTTATACTGGGTGGGCACATCCTTTCTTTGAAGTCTTAGCATCAACAATTCCCTCCACCTGAAATGCTCTTACCCTACATAGCTAGAGTTCTAACTTCCTCACCACATTCTTTCTTTGGTCAAATGTTACTTCCTTATTGATTTCAAATACCCAATTTTAAAATTCAGCCAGCCATCTTATCACACTCAATACCCCTTTATCCTGCTTTATTTTTTTTTTTTTACTATGTAGCAGTTATCACCTTTTAACATACCATATTATAATATCCCTGTATATGAAGCTTTTTGTTTGTTGTCTGTCTCCTTACACTAGAAAGTAAGCCCAGGGGAGAAAGGGATTACTATTTCATTTATTAATGTATTCTAAGTATCTAGTCTGGTACATAGTAGGTGATCAATAAATCTCTACTGAAGTAATGAAGGAAAGGACACAGCCTCACCCAATGAGAGCAGATTCCTGTAATTCTCCAGCATCACCTCTTTGTAGAGGTTCCTTTTCTCCGAGCTCAGTGTCTTCCATTCTGCCTGTGTGAAGATCACAGCCACATCCCTGAATGTAACTGGTGCCTACGAACAAGCAGTAAATTAACATACAGCAAGTCATCACTGATTTTCCCTGTGTGAAGAGCACAGCTGGTGGCCCTGGAAAGTGTGGATATACAAGAAGTTGAACTGATTCTTTTCAGAGTACACAGTTCTCCATATGACATTCTTCTGGGCATTACTATGTGTCTGGCTTTATGGTAAAACCTGTGAGGAACATAACTGATGCACAAAACACATCCTAGGCCCTTGAACACTTACAATTTAATTGGAGAAATGATTTGTCAATCATTTTGAAAACCTCAAGTATTCAAGATGGTGACCTTGAGGATTCATAATGAAGGAATTCAGAGATAGAACAGCAAGAGGATAGGCTGGTGAGGAAATAAAGGCATCATGGACTTGGGGCTTGTTCTGGGCAGTAGGCAGTGGTAAAGATTCAAAGGAGAAAATGGAGGACAACTTTGACTATAGAGAAAAATGGGAGTGAATGATGGGGTGTCGAATGAGTATTTTTGAAAAGTCCAGAGTACTAAATGGGATCTGTAAAATCCCTGTCTTTGCCTATGTATTATTTTAACAACCTTTATTCAATGAAGCCCCTAATGCTTCACTTATCTACCTAAATGTTGACCTCCTTCTCCCTTCCCAAGAAAGACAATATATGTCTATTTTCTGAGAAATGAGCCAGCAATTCAGGAAGGAAAAAAAAAGTAACCCCAACTCACCAGTATTTGGGGCCTTCCCTCCTTTTCTTGGGGCCAGGAAGTATAGTTAGAAGGCAAACCTAGGGGAAGAAAAAGCAGATATGAGAAACCCCATCATCCATGATGCTTCCAGAGTAGTTTTTCTGAGCCTTAGGATGGAGAAAGTAGCCACTACACTCGGCTGTGACCTTCAAAGCATTCTCAAGTGAACCTGGAGCCTTGGCCCCCTCTTCACCTCTCCAGACCCTCAACAATTCTCACCTCTTGCCTTTTTATTGTGAGACAATTTCTTCATGGTCTGCATATCTTCCTCATTCTTTGAAGGCAAAATCTTCTCCCAGTCTTGCTCTCGCAGTACAGAAGGATCAGGCAACATCATGGCCCCAGAGTCAGCCCAGTGTATGCCTTGATATGCTGCTAGAGGGCCAGGTAGATGCCATTTCATCTTAAGGTGGATTTCTGCTGTGTGGGGTGACTTCTTCTAAACTTAATTGTAAAAACCCATCTTGTTTCCATGCAGCCAGGATCTGTGGGATAGAGAAGCAATTTGATGTTGCTGGGGCCTTTATTCTGGGCCCTAAGCTTCATGCCTCTGCAGCAGGGCTCCTGTCCTCTCACACCCTCCTCATTCAACGAACACAGAATTTCTGTCTACATGAGTTCCCCGGATTTTCTACCTTCATTCATTCTTTCATTTCTAGGCCCTCAAGTCTGTCTTCTGTCACTCTTCCTTAGCTTTTGAAATGTACAACTTCTTCCACCTCTGCACCTCTGCATAGATTCAAACTCTATGTCTTGGATCAATTTCTGCTACCTGGAGCCCAACTCAAAGAGAATACAGAAGATAACATAATGCCTAGGGAGAAAGAGCCTCTGAATGTCTTCTTCCAGACCAACCAGGGCCTGCAGAACTCAGCTTCTGACTCTCCTGGCCCAAGGTTCCATCTGTGTTCAATTCTCTGTGTCCCCGTACTCTCAGGAGTTTCAGGGATCTAAACTGAGTCCTTCTTAAACTAAGAGAGAGCTCCAGGTCTCACAATGACTTTGTAAATATAACCCCCTACCTTCCATTTCTATATATGTGCATCACATGACTATATGAGAGATGCACATTTGTGTCTCCTGATGGGCCCATGTCAAAATTCTCCACTCATGTGGTCCCAAGGAGCTATACCACCTTCAGAAGCTCCTCAGACACCTCATCCAGGATCTCAGCCCAAATGACAACAGGCCTTCCAATGCCTAGTACCCTTCTGAGGCTAGCTGGGGTTCCCCTGAGAAGCTCTTGAGATTCATCCCCCAAAACCAGAGGCAGAGATAATCATTCCCTCTTTTGTTAACCTGGGCATTTCACCTTAATCATACTGCGCTGCAATTTCTCTATTTATATGACTTTCTTTATTAAAATGTGAGCTTCCTATAAGAAGAAATGCATCTCAGTCTTTTTGCTAATCTAATCCTAGCAGTTAGGATAAAATAGGTCTTTACGGTAGGTAGATTTTATCATCATTCGCAATTATTTGTTTCTCTATAAAAGGATTGTACTTCCTGACTCTGACATCAGGCTTGGCCTTGCGACTTCCCTTAGATAATGAAGTGTAAGTGAAAATGACAGTGCCATTTCTAAGCATGGCATGATTCCACCATTTCTCTTGTGGTGGAACAGCATGTTCCCAAAAGGGACCATGGTTCTACAGTAAAAGGTCATGGTCTATAGCTAAAGCCAATCTACAAAGGAGGAGGAATAAGACTGGGTTTGAGGTTAGATTGCCATATGAACCACTGCAATTTGGGGGTCATGTGTTACTGCAGTACAGCTTAGCCTAAGCTGGTAAAGACAGCCCTCCTCCTCCTAGTCACACTCGTATCTGTGGCTAACATTTATAAAGCAGGGTCTGTGCCAAGCGCAGAGTTGTACTCATCTTCACAACACAGCCAAGAGGCAGATACTGCTGTCCTTTCCGTCTCACAGAGGAGGACACTGAGGCACCAAGAGGCTGGTTTATTTGTCCTTGAGATTACACAGTATCAGACCAAGCCTAGAATCTGAGATTCTCATTCCAAAGCCTTTTTTCTTTGCCATTGCCTAAAATAATGTCCACTGAACAAATGACTAAGTGAATGGGCAAAAAGTAAGCAGACAGGGTTTGAAATTGACCCTGAGGGCAACAGGACCCTCAGAGTGAAGTGGAGAATGGGGTCTATATCAGTCAGGATGGGCTGAGTTATTCTGTAGTAACAAACGCCCCCTCCCCCCAAATCTCAGTGGCTTAATGTAATGAAGGTTTATTTCTCACTCAGGCTCCACGTACATCCTCTGTTAAATGAAATTGTGCCCAGTTACCTTCACTCCAGGACCAAGGCTAACAGCGGGCTTCTATTTGTAAAATGGCCAGTATGACAGAGGGAGAGGAAAGATGGGGAACTATACACAGGCTCTTAGAAATTCTACCCAAAGAGACACTTCTGACCATAGCTCATTGGCAAACCAAGTCACATGCTCACTTCTGAGCTCAGCAGGGTAGGACATATACCTATAAGGAGAGGCCACACAGGGGGGATGCCAGGATATTTAATGAAGAGGGAAATATGCTACTATAAGGTCCCAAGCCCACAAACCCACTCTCGGCCAGCCCTAGTCCCTAATATTGATAGGTATTTCAAGATGCTAGGATCTGTGGCTGTGCCTAGAGCACAAAAATAAAGGACACAGTCCCTACACTTCTCACACCATCAAAGAACAGACAGGGATACTTACTGTCCAGGAGGAACTTAACTCAGCACAGAATAGAATGCTATCAGGGAAGATCTAAAGAAATGAAAAGGATGCTGCTGTTTAGAGCGTAAGATGAAGTCTGCCCATCTATCCAAGAAGAAACACTCCAGGCAAAGGGGACAGTATGATTGAAAGGCCAAAGGTGAGAGGGGAAGGGGGAGAGACAGAGAGAGAAAAATGGGTAATTTCCTAGGACAATATAAATTGCCTAAAATCGAGTCAAAAAAAAAAAAAAGGAAAAGAAAAAAATTAAAAAATTATTAATCAAAGAAAAAATGAGGCCGGGCACGGTGGCTCACGCCTGTAATCCTACCTAGCACTCTGGGAAGCCGAGGTGGTTGGATCGCTCAAGGTCAGGAGTTCGAGGCCAGCCTGAGCAAGAGCGAGACCCCCGTCTCTACTAAAAAATAGAAAGAAATGATCTGGACAACTAAAAAAATATATATATAGAAAAAATTAGCCGGGTGTGGTGGCGTGTGCCTGTAGTCCCAGCTACTCGGGAGGCTGAAGCAGGAGGATCGCTTGAGCCCAGGAGTTTGAGGTTGCTGTGAGCTAGGCTGACGCCAGGGCACTCACTCTAGCCCAGGCAACAAAGTGAGACTCTGTCTCAAAAAATGAAAAGGAAGCCAAAGATCTGCTCCCCAAAAGACATCAGATCAACATAATTTTATCGGTTAGTTCTAACAAAATGTTGAGGAACAGGTAATTCTTGTAATAAGTATTAAGTACTCTAAAACTTTTAAAAAATGCTTCCTAACTCTTTCATCAAGGACACCAAAAGCAAGAGCACTACAGAAAAAGAAAACTAAATGTCAATTCCATTTATAAAATTAGATGTAAAAATCCTAAGCATAAATCATTAGCAAACTGAATCCAGCTATACCTTAAAGGAATAATCATGCATCGTGACCAAGCAGACTTTATCCCAAAAATGATAGGACAGTTTCACATCAGAAAAGCAACTATGGGAGGGAAAACTTCCATTCTTCTTTCATTAAACCGACAATTTAGATACTTTAACCTGAGAAAATCTTCTTGTTAAATTATGACATAATTGTTAACATTTTGCTCTATTTGCTTCATCACATCCATTCATATACGGACATTCATTGTAGCAAACCTTTTAACACTTCTGTATGCACGAAAATGTCATGAGAAAATACTGGGGGAAAATTGGATCCAAAAAGACTTAAATATTTGCAAAACATATAAGTCTAAAACCACAACTTATAACTGCTTATTGCTATCTCCCAGAGAAATCAATTTAACTTATTTTCATTCCAAAGGCAAATAAATATCTTACTACATTATTTTTATTTATTATAAATATATATTTTATATGTATATATATGTGTGTATATCTCTTGACTTAGACATCTCTTAGACTTCAGGGGTGAAAAGCTATCTGTGGCCATAAAGAAGTATATGAAATCTGCAGAAAACAAACATTGCAAGCACAACTTGCATCATAAAATTCTATATCTCAACAACCCTCATGGACATGATCTTCTATTCATTCCATTTGATTGTAACAGAGGTCTCAGCAATGGCAAAAGATAGAATTTTAATAGTACATCCAAATAAACTTCACCTGCCCCTTTTGTTTGCCAAGTCTATTGTGACAAATCAATTTTCTTAAGAAAAGTGCATAATCTTCTTTAGGCTTCTACGAAATTACAGGAAAGTCAGGTTAGAAGGATCTCTCATTTACAGCTAACTGTTTGATATAGCACATGAACACTGCAACCTCCTCTAAATTCTTGGTCAGTATTTTTTCTCCAGAGTTTTCCAGATATTACATTATTTATTTGGCCCTAATGTAAGTAACATGTTTTAAAGTGCATTGTCCCTGTATCAGTCACTTAAAAGATAGCAACTCAAACTAGGTAAATGAGGAGAGTTTAGTAAAGGGACTATTTACAAAGGTCATGGGCATGGTTGGGCTAGGTCTAAAGGTGGAGGGAGCAGTTACCAGAATCAGGAGCTAGAACCATGTATTATAGAAAAGGTTGCTTGACAGAAGCATTGGCCTTCATCAGAGACACACAATTATTAATAACTGGGACGACCCAGTACAGATAGAGCCAAGGGAATAAATATACAACAACAGAGGGGAGAACTCTGTAAAGTTAGAAAAGCTATTGGAACCAAGTCTCCTTCTAAAGCCAATGAGAAATTATGGGATATTCTAATTCTATCAACCCCTGTGAACTAGAGAAACAGTATTTTTGGTGTAGAAGAAAGGAGATATAGATATGATATTGAAAAGGTTTTGTAAAAACCCAATAATCCTGAATTTGGATTGGAAATTTCAGTACAAACTTCTTAAGTATTTCTTAGCTCTGTCTACTGCAAAAGCCTAGAAAGAGTTCAGTTGCAATGATCAGCCCCAGTGCCCAGATTGTGGTCTATTTCTTGACCTGGGTGTTCACTTTATAGTAATTCACTATATTATACATCTCTTTCATGTGGTTTTATTTCCTATGCTTTACTTTATAATAAAAAAGAAAAACAATAAAGGCACAGAAAATAAAACTGTGGTTTTGGTGCAGCAGTAGTTAGATAAATGGAACAGAACACAGGGTTCAGAAAAAGATCCACAGACATTTGGGATTTGGGTATACAGTAAACATAGCAAGAAAACATCAAACAACCCCATTAAAAAGTGGGCTAAAGACATGAACAGAAGCTTTTCAAAAGAAGAAATACTAATGGCCAAAAAACATACGAAAAAATGCTCAATGTCTCTAATC